TTTTTTTTTTTAAATACTATATATTTGTTTTCTTTCATTCTTGTTTGTCCGTCCAGTTATGTAGAAGTCAGAATTTCTATTGCTTATTCCATTGCTGGAATTGCAATTTTTGCAGCTTTCGGTTTTTGAGTTCATGCCATTCAATGACTAGTCTAGAAGCTGCAATGTGACTTGTCTCAAATCTCTGGTTTCTTTGATGCTCCCGACACTGACCATACACTGATTTGATGTGTACCTTAAGAAATTGGTTTTGTGATCTCTTATTTGCAAATATGGACCAACATTTGTGTGCATATTTGCTATTCGCTAGGCATGTGAGTGCAATGAAACTATTTTTTTTAGTGATATGTTATTGGTAAGTATCATTCTGTTTTCCAATCTTGTACTATTTCCATGCTTCCATTGTTTAAATCTTGACGTGACTTAATGGATTGGTCACCTTTAATGGAGCTAGTCAACCAGTGGTTATCGTCAACCAGTGGTTATCAATTCAATCATATATTGTTTTTCTTTGTTGTTATCATATTAATTGGCAGATGAGTTCAAGGGAATAATATAATGGTGAGGAAAGTCCTTATAGATGAAGCTTTGGGAACTTTTTCAGATTAGGGCAAGTGGGTTGTGGTGTATATTTGCTTTGGAGGGAAAAAAGTGAAGATTCCAATTTCTCAAAGTAGGACCTTTGGTTCTTTATTCTTTTCTTGCTTTAGGTTCGCAATATACTTTATTGACGAAAATTCTCGTTAAGAGCATATTAAGCGGTGCTTAACAAAAGATGCTGACTCTGATTGGCTAGCTTTGGAGGAGAAATAAGAAATCAATATAATTTTTTGGTCCCGTAGACACTATGGGGATAAAATTATTCTCCTTATTTTGAGTTTATTTCTCTTTGAATCAGATTCTTATAAAAGAATTAGTCAACCGTTCTTGCAAAATAGAGGAAAAAGCATGTTGTCCGGAGTATTTGATCGAAAACTTACTTGGAAATGAATTTGCACGATGAGGAAATTTGGGTAGACCACCTCAAAGTCAAGAAGGCCATGTTAAGCCAATTTTATGGTAATGCTTAATTGATTGGTGGGGTTTAGAAATTATTATGGGGGATTTTGGGTAGACTACCTTAAGGACAAAAAGACTGCGCAGAAGGCAAAGTTAAGCCAATTTTAGTGTCATGGGGTTTTAGAAATGGAACAATATGACATGGGCCCTTGGCTCATGAGCTCATACACGCATCATTGGGTTGTTGAAAGAGAAATTTTGACTTAGTCAAGTCATAAGATTCCTTGGGAGAAGTATAGGTTTCAAAAGTAAACTAAAGAAAGTCAATTACATCAGCAGGGGTACATATTATATTTCTTATACTCTGCTTAAAAGGTTGTGATTAAAGTGGATTGTCACTTCCTACTTTCAGTTCGTCATATATTTTAGTAAATATTTATGTTTTGTACTTTCTGTGATCTCAGTTCTTTGAATGGGAACTCATGCAAGTAAATAAATACTTATATATCTATCACCATATTAACAAAAATACATGCATGCATATATAGATGTAGCTCTGATTCACGTGTTTTCCTATACAGTAGAAGTTCTGAATGATTAGCATCCTCCATAGTAAATAGAGCTGTTTATTGTGCATACGTGCTTTCTTTTGTTTTTCTTTGAGAAGCAAGTAAATTAT